CTGATTCATTTTCTCAAAGAAAGGAATTTAAGTTCATCCTTATAAATTTCCTCTGAGACCTAACATATAATTACTGTCAAGATTTTTTGATAGATGGCAGTCTGGAAAGATTAAATGATTCATCTGCTATGACATGACGAAGTCCCTATGCAGAGCTGAGAATGGAATTCAGATCACTGGGGTAACCATTAAGAAATCTTCCTTATCTTTTATTTTAAATTGGATTTTAGTTTTCAAGCAGAATTAGAACATTTGCTCTAAGCCATCTGTTGATTATGGGCTGTTTAGTTGATGCTTGCCTCCAACTCCTAGACTTTTCCCCTATTATGCACACTTTCATTCTCTTTCTTCAGTAATTTAACATACATTAGCCTCCAGTATAATTTTTTAAAGAGATTTATTTATTTTTTTATGCATACAAGAACTGGGGTACAGGTCAGAAGTGTGGAGGGTGAGAGGATTCACCAGAGGCAGAGCAGGGAACAGAACAGGCAGATTGACTGAAGTACACTGCTGAGGGGAGCATCGGGTGAGTCAGGAGAGGTCTGCTGCACCATGTGGGTATCTCCCTGCCTGGGGATTGAACTCATGCTGCATTGGCTGTGAATAGCTTCATAGGTTGCTTCTTAACCCCTTGCACCACCAGGGAGGCCCTCCAGTATAACGTTTTATGAATATATACATGATAGAGGTTTGTTGCTCATTAAGTACTATCTATATATTAAGAAAAGGCTCTGTTAAGACACAGTTTCTTGTCCTTTCTCCATGTACTCTCTACTTCTACCCATCTCACCAAATCCTAATCACACATGTGTTAGTACAATTAGTCCCAAGACTTTAGCTCTTGGGGTTGAGTGATGGTGTCCTGTTCAACAGTAAATCCTCAGTCACTACTTAGAGCTGGACATACACTAAATGCCCAGTGAATATTTGTTGGAAATGTGGAAAAACTCACTAAAAATAATAACAGCATTTTACTAAGTGTTCTATATTGGGAAGAGATAATTGATTTTAATATTGTGTTTGATTTGAATAGCTTGTTTAACATTTTTAATTCTAAACCACGAATACATGCATTTTGTTACCTATTTGTAGTATCTATTTTATTATATTTATATATGTGACTACAGAATATAGAAAATGCAGCCAGATTCCAGTTAGAATATTTCAACTCTTTTTTTTTTTTTTAAATATTTATTTAGGGCCTCCCCGGTGGCGCAGCGGTTGAGCGCTGGGTTGCGAAGCTGCCCGCGGCCTCTGCGGCGCCGGTTCGATCCCCGGCTGCTCCCCGGACACCAGAGGAGGGTCCCACATGGCGCGCAGACCTCTCCTGCCACCCGCTGCTCCCCTCAGCAGTGTACTTCAGTCCTTCTGCCTGCTCTGCTCCCCACTCTGGCTCTGGTGAATTCTCTCACCCTCCCGTGCTCCAGTGCATGTGTAAACAAAATAAACAAATAAATAAAAAAAAAAAAACAAACATGCCTCTATAAAAAAAAAATATATATATATTTATTTATTTATTTATTTATGCAAGCACTGGGTACAGTCAGAAGTGCAGGAGGATGAGCGAATTCACCAGAGCCAAAGCAGGGAACAGAACAGATAGACTGATGAAATACACTGCTGAGGGGAGCAGTGGGCATGGCAGGAGAGGTCTGTTGCACCATGTGGGACCCTTGCTGGTGGCCGGGGATCAAACCAGCGCTAGGCTGTGGGCAGATTCACAGCCCAGTGCTCAATCTCCGCACCACCAGGGGAGGCCCTATTTCAACTCTTTCAATTAACAGTTTAATTATTATAAACATTTATTTGATACGCATTTTAATGGCTGCACAGAATTCAGTGGAGTTTACTGAAACAGTATTATTTGAAATTATTCTTTTCAAATATTGGACATTATAAACAAAGCTATGATGAGTATGTCTGGGAATAAAGAGTGGTTGTCATATGGTTCTACTGAGTCCATTTATTGGCTGCATTCATGAATGTTTGAATGTACAATAATAATTCTAACCTTCCTTGTTTTGGAAGAAAATGAACTAAAATCATATCGGCATTCTTTAATAAACATGTCTACAAAGCTCCTGAAAATATTTAATTAGATTTTCATGGTAAGGTATTTGTTAAATCTCACAGGAATCAGGGAAACTATAAGAGAAATTATATGATTGTAATTTATTTGATAATATGTTCACATTTTATCAAAAAGAAAAGGTTTAGAAAAAGAGACTTTATGTATTTTAGAGATAGGTTTTTAAGTAGTTTAGAGGTTAGTTGTAATGACATAGCAATAGAAGAGTTAAAGTTTTTTGTTAACTTCCCTTTACAACCATGAAGATAATTGATTTTTTTCTCTCTCCTCTGCCAGTCGTGGTAGAAGAATTTTCTCAGTTTCAATAATGCCAACTTCAAATTAGAGTGTAGGAACCTGTCTTGACCAATTTAATGTATTGAATTAATGTCATGCTTCTGTAAGATTTCCTGTTTGCTTTTTCAAAGATATTTTTCAAAGATATTTAAGGAACACCTACAATATCTCAGGCTCTCGGTGCAGCCTGCTCTAGAACCACTCCCTGAAAAATCTAGATAGTATCCAATGCTGTATTTTCATGGAAGAGGGGAGTGTCGTGAGGGGGAGACATAAAATCTTATTTAACAGTAATTTTACATTAAACAGTGATTACTATTACAGTGCATAGTAATCCTATCATACTCATCATACATGTAGCCCTTGTTTTTTTAAAGTGAATGTTCATTCAGGTAGTCATGGAAAAATAGGAGAAATTGTCACCACACATGGAGCAGTATCATATGTAACTAGCATGATTCTTTGAGGACAAGGAGTCTATTCACAGGAGCAGACGTCATTTCTCAACACCAGCTTTTTGTGAGCTGCCAATGCAACATTTAAAACCAAAATAAAACAGAAAACATGAAAAATAAGCTCTTTGGTTCTTTCTGGGATATTTTAAGTGCTTTTTCTTCAAAAGGAATGTTTATAGGCTTTCGTAGTTTTCCAGTAAGTGATCACATTTTAGAAAGGAATTGGACATGTCAAAAGTTGCAGATGAAATGAGATTGACCAGTCTCTCTATAATGATGCACACATTAAAAAAAAAAAAAAAGAAAGAAAAGAGGACTCTGACCTAGAAGATGAAAGCAGAGAGAGCGGTTGATTGAAGTCTAAAACATTTGGATGGGAGTGTGTACAGTAACTTCAGATCCTGTTATTTGATCTCTAATTACCAGAATAAGGGTTACCTTTCACACTTGAAAGGGATTATAAACATATAAAAGTCTTTTCCCAGAAAGGTGATGTTGTTGAAGATAGAGATTCAAGAATAGTTCAGATAAATTAATTGATGGTGGATGCACATCAGGCTGTCAACGAAAATGAGAGGTCTTCAGTGTAACATTTTGAAAGCTCGCTTACTGGAATACTTAAATGATTGATCTGCTCCAGGATGACATTTTTCTCATATTTTTACACTTTTACTGGTATTAGGGACATTTAATGTTTCTTGTCAATTTGTTCCAATAATTGTGTGGCTGCAAATTATTCATAACATTGCCAGAAAGTTATAACCTAGAATTTTTCACCTAAATTTTCAAGCAGTCTTTAAAGAAGCTCAAAGATCATGTATATTATGCTGTAAGGGGCCAACTTTTCAGAGTTAATATAGGGGTGGAAGCCTCTACCCATTAGCTTTTTGGGGAGCAGGACACTCCTTGGCTTAGCCAAAGATCCAGGCAGGTTTCCTTATTGAAGTTTTCAGCCACACTAACGCAACCCTGATTCAAGGTTTCTTCCAATTTTAATCTTTACCCAACATCATTAAATTTGTCCTTTAAGATGCTTATAGACATAGGGTTTATATTTTATGCTCTATCATGTTTTGTATGTCATTTCTACCCCTGGTATTGTTTTAAATTTATGGTGACATTTTCTAATGGAGAACCTGACCATAACCATAACTAACCACAGGAGTTTAACTAACCTCTGTGAGTCTTTTCTTTCATCCACACTGCAGAATCCTCTATAGAGCACACACCCCTAGTAGGTCTAATGCCTGTCTTCTATGAATACTCTTGGAAGGGCATTGAGTGCCTCAGGAGACTGAAGTCTAGATTTAGTTTGTTCTCCCTTCTGTGATTTAACAAGTCTACCCCGATCTCACCTTTCAAGTTACAGCTTTAAATGACATCATCTTCTAAGATCCTTTCTCCTCTAAAATTGTATGACTCCATTATTCTGAGGAAATCTCCAAAAATGCATATTACATTGTGATTGGGATGATGACTCTGGGAGAAGGAAAGAAGTGGGTGGAAAGGAAGATGAATTTAGAATGAAAATGTCTCATTGCAAAGCATAAAGTCAGTGTCTCTTTAAAAGACTTATGCTCATACTGTTGCCCAGGAAGAGAGAATTGGAGAACTTTTTATTGGAGGGATAGGATTTTGGAAATTTTAATATTACAAATATAAAACTTCTGCCTCATCACTTCAGTAAATTCAGGGTAGAACTGCTTTGTTTATTATCATTATATTGTTGATTTTAACTGGCTCAACTAATTGGACATTGATTATGTATTTATTGATTAATTTAACATGTAGGTGATTATGAATCTACTTAATTTTTTTACTCCATAATGACAAAATGATAGATGACATCAACTAATATTGAAGGTGCCACACTGTGTTTATCATGTGACAAAAGTAAATCGATTCTCATGGTACAAAGAAAGAACTGAAACAAGACCTGGGTCAGCCTCCGACTCTCTGAGATAGTATCTGTGTTATCTTTGGAAAGTTAAGTCAACATATGGCCTCAGTTGCTTTGTCTGTTAAATGATGAGAAAAGTATCTATTATATAGTGTTGTTCTAAGTATGCATTAAATGAAAAGAATTTTGCTGAGTGGTTGTCATTTAGCAAGTGTGCTATAAGTAGTGACTAAAAAACAAATCCAGATTGAAGTTTTGTGTTGACTTTTTCTTGCAGTGTGTGGTCTATAACATGGTTTCTTTCTTCAAATAAATTGATGGACATTTAATTCAGTCAGAAGGAACGTTAAATGATGCCACCTACATTTCTGTGACATGGAGGTAGGTTTTGGACTCATATTTAATCTGGAAGTTACATTCTGTGAAAACTTGCAGGAGAAAAATAACCCTCTCCCATCAATTTGGTTGGAAAATAAGATATATTAATAATAATAAATATTCTGTTGAGAATTTGGCATGTGTAACATACTAGACCAAGCTCTTTATATATATTGTCATCAAATTCTCAGAATAATCTTATGTGTTAAGGATGACCATTAAGCCCATTACACTGAACCTTAGGTTAAATTATTGGCAGAATTCACAAAACTAGCAAAGGACTAAGCCAGGACTTTAATGCAGACAATTTGCCTCCGAGTTTATGTACTTAGTATTTTTCTCTGCTGATGCTTCAAAAACTAGACTCTTGGCATCACTGATACCTAAAAGCTTATTTTCCCTCTGCTGTACCTCTATCTATGAAAAATTGGACAAGTGAAATGACTACTCGGAGCTTGAACTTCCTAATCTATAAAGAGTGAATAATCATATCTTTCATATAGGGTCTGTTTGTATGGGCCATGTAACAATTAAGTGAGAATATGGGCAGTATCATATGCTCTTCAAAAGGGACAGAAATAGGGAAATGCAATGAAGGCAAGAACATAAATGGCTGTCATCAAACATTTGTCACAGCACTGGTGTAAACAGCTACTTATCAATATATCCAGTTATATAATGTGTCTGTTTAAATCTTTGTCGTTCCTTAAAAAAAAGTCTGTCTCTGTAATGCTCTATTTAAAAGCTGAACTTCATAAGTAGAGATTATAGATGCTGAAACCACTTAGTAATCATTTAGAAATCTGATATAGGATAAATAAACCACCCATAAAGGCAGGGGCATTTTCAGACATACAAAGGAAAGGTCTCCAGACCTGGAAAATGGGAGGAGAAAAATCTTCTCTGGGCTAAGATAAAGAATTTTTATATTCATGCTTAGCAAGTGTGTCTGACAAACCATCATATAAGATAGAAAAATTCAGATCATAATTCCTATGCGGTATCTATGGTTCTGAAATACAGTGCTACATAAACAAAAAGGCTGTGCTCTCCTATCTTCATTGTGCTGGTTCTGAACTCACTCGTGCATTGTGAATGGTTACAGAGCACTAAGAATCTGGTATGCAGCCTGGGGAACACTTGATGCATGAAATCCCTAAATAATTTAGCTTGAGTAGAAATTCCTACCTGTGTTTCTTCAAGTAGCATCTACATGTGATTATAGAAGGAAAAGAAATCATTTTGAAATTAGAAGTTATAGGAGTTCCTCAAGACTGTCCTTGGCATTATTCAGATGGAGACCATGCACTGTGTTGGTTTTCTGTATCACAACTCAGTGCCAACTGTGAACACTCTGTTATCCACAATGGTCGATCATCTTCATGATTAAAGAGACCCACGATACTGTATCTTGCATTGATTTAAGGATTTTAGAACCTGATGATTTAAAAAACTTGACTACAGCAAGACATATTTTAAAACTTTGATCTCTGTTTTTGTTTCAGAAGCAATGACTAACAACTAGAGTCCATTAAAAGTCACCTGTTAAAATTAGTGGAATATTCAACTTAGATGTTGTGTTATGTATCTCTTGGAAACACCAATAACAGCCTTTTACAAAGATGGCATGGAAAGTAAAGAAGGAAGTCCTTGCCCCTCCTAAGCCAAAGCCAAAGTAGGAGCTTTGAAATCCAAGAAAGCAGTTTTGAAAGCTGTCAATAGCCAAAAGAAAAAAATCTGCAGGTCACCCACCTTCCGGAGTCCCAAGGCACTATGACTCTGAATGCACCCCAAATATTCACAGAAGAGCACCCCAAGAAGAAACAAGATTAATCAATGTCCTATCATCAATCTTTCCTTGACCACAGAGTCTGCCACAAAGAAGATAGGTGACAACTCACTTGTGTACATGGTGGGTGTCAACCAGATACAACAGGTGGGAAGAAACTTGATGACATTGACATGACCAAGGTCAACACCCTGATTAGACCTGATAGAGCAAAGAAGGTGTACATTCAACTGGCTCCTAACTGTGATGCTTTAGATGTTTCCAACAAAAATTGGGAACATCTAAAGTGAGTCTAGCTGGCTAGCTCTAAATATAGTTCTTTTCAACATAAAAAAATACAAATGGTCTTGGGCATTTTCATAAATAACATATCTATTAAAAATTAGTGATTTCTCCCTGGTTACAATGTAAATTAAATCTATGGATAACATGTTTAAAAACATTGTTGACAAGCTTTTGAGATTATAGAGAGAAGTGAATTATAAAGCATTTTCATAAATTATTATTATGTTTCAGAGAAACAGGGTAGAAATTCATCCTAAAGTTCTCCTTAGAAGATAAAGGATTTGTTACATAAAGACTGGGATAGTTGTGGGTTTCTACTTATCGTGACATATATTATAGCCTACTAAATATATGCAGACATAAGTGAGGAAAGAAGTTGTTCATTTTGGGGAGTGAAATTAATAATGAGATTAGGGGTGCTTTTTAAAAGCAAGAGAAAAGGAATTAACATTTATTGGGTTCTTTCCTTAGAGTAAAAATATAAAAGAATCAAGTACACATCTATTATAGGGAACATCTTTCTTTCTTAGCATGCACATCATTAATTAGGGAGATACCAACTTCAAGATAGAAGTTAATTAACTGTGAGATCAATACCTAATGCTGATTTCACTTTTCACATCTCTCTAACAGCACCAAACCAATAAAAGCAGTTATGTTTTTGAGTAAATCTGATCTAACTGAAATCTCAAAGGAAATAGTTTCTGAAGCACTTGTCAAGTAGGAAAAGGTGGTTGAATTAATCAAATTTGGGTGTGCAACCAAGATTGTAGGATAAGCCCAGTTAGTCATTATTTCATTATAGTATTTTTTCATGGATAGACTTTCAATTAAATGAATTCTGCCCATATTATGGTCACAATTCTTCTCCAGGTTTATGTCGATTACATCTTCCTCTCATTAAGCTGAAGGGTTCTCACATTTAAAGTGAGCCCTTTAAGACCCTTGAGATGTTTCTCATTTCCTGGTGGGGGAGACAAAGATTTTGATTCAACTTTAGGTCCACATCAGAAGGGAACTGGCATATCCTCTATGTAATAATATTTAATCTACTTGGCAGAACTTTTAGTTATGGGAGCTTTGTCCAAAAGACGGTGGCATCAGGGATCTGATCAGGCATCAGTGGTATCTGTTTATTGTCATCATCAAATACTCAAGTCCAAAGTGTCTATTAAAGAATATTAATGTTAGAGGTCAAACATTAGCCATCCTGAATCCTAGCATGAAACCGAAGTGCACAACACACTTAAAATCATTCACTCGCCTTATTTCTCTCTCTCGGAACCAAGGACTTGGCATTTTTCCCCCAAGGCACAGTATCTGTGTTTTCATAATGACTTTTCTTTGTTCCAAGCTAATTGCTTTAGAATGCTCGGTTACATTTTGCATTTTTATAATCCTCTTGATAGAGACCTGAGTTAATACATGGAGAACACTTAGAAGACTATCTGTCACATGGTGTGCACTTAATACATGCTTGCTGCTGTTATGATAATAGCTGGTAATACTTTTTAAAATTTCACTGACTGGTTTATAAGAAACCATGGACCATGAGGTATATAACATAGGATATAGGAGGAGCTGGACACTGGAATTGCACCCCAAAACTTAAAGCAAATGTAGAGGTTGTGAGAAGATGGTGACAGCTGCAAGGTTTGAATCTTCCTACATCGTCTCATAAAAATAGAGCAAAGATAGCAAAGCCAAAGACCCACCAGCATCATTTAAAACAAAACTAGTTGGCAAAAGCATCTGGAGAAATGTCAACATAAACTGGGGGGACTGTTAAATATGAAATACATATTGACCTGTAGAACTAAGGCACAATGATGTGTTAATGGAAATTGTGGCGAATGTAGAGGTTGATTTGGTCACACAAATGAGGGAGACAAGAAGTGTTCATGAAAGGGAGAATAAGCTTGCTAATTGCCTTATAAGCATATTTAATTTTTTAAAATTTATTTATGCATACAAGAACTGGGGTACAGGAAAGAAGTGCAGGGGGTGAGAGGATTCACAAGAGACAGAGTAGAGAACAGAACAGGCAGACTCACTGAAATACACAGCTGAGGGGAGCAGCGGGTGGGACAGGAGAAGTCTGCTGTACCATGTGGGTAGCTCCCTGGCAGGCTGGGGATCCAACTCATGCTGCAGAGGCTGCAGATTACTTCATAGTGCTGTGCTTAACCCCATGTGCCACTAGGGAGACCCTAAGTCTATTTTAGTTACTATATCAAGACAAGTGACAAAGCGGAATCTGTTTACAGTTTTGAATTAGTGGATTTAGAAAATATGTACCTTTGGGCCTCCCCAGTGGTGCAGCGGTTGAGTGCTGGGTTGCGAAGCTGCCCACAGCCTCTGCAGTGCCAGTTCGATCCCTGGCCTCCGGGCAAGGGTCCCATATGGCACACAGACCTCTCCTGCCGCCCGCTGCTCCCCTCAGCAGTGTACTTTGTCAGTCTGCCTGCTCTGCTGTCCCCTCTGGCTCTGGTGAATTCTCTCACCCTCCTGCTTTTCTGACTATACCCAGTGCTTCTATAAATAAATAAATAAATCTTTAACAAAAAAGAAAAAAGAAAATATGTACCTTTGACTGATAACCTCCCTCCAAAGAGTGAAGCCAACATCATAAACCTTTTGCGAGAGGAATGTGAACCATGGCCCCTTTGAAGAAGCATCCAGAAGCAGGGGAGTTGTAGGTGTCCTTTCATCCAAAGGTTTCTGTAACTCCTTTAATCACTAGTTTGATAAATAATTATCAAACTCCACTTATATGGCAGATGGAATTATAGATATGGGGTATAATGCCTTTTAAAAGAAAACAAAACTGACACATAAAGGTAACCTGTCTCTCTGTACTCACAGAATGTACGTCATAGTCATTAATCAAATAAGCTCCCAAGGAAATGCCATCTCTCCACTGTGATAAATGGAGAGACGGATGGTGCTGTGACAATAAATAATAGGAGGACCACACCCAAGCTAGGGGGAAGGGAATGGATTAGCTGGGAAAAAGTGAGATTTGAGCTGGAGTTGGAGTGTTGAATAGCTTTAAGGGGGCATTAGCCTAGAACTGTGGGAGACATGCCAGAGATGGGTGTCTGAAACAGGAGAGAGAGCGTGTGCGGGGCCCCTGAGTTAGTCCGGATGATTCTATAACCCTGCACCCAAAAGAAATTCAGCGTGCCTGATGGGTGCCAAGAGGGGAACACAGGCATGATATGTAATTTTTTGCCCAAACTGGATCACTTTTGGGCATAAAAGAGAGGAACTGCCTGACATTACACCAGAACAACAGGTAGGCCTGGGCCTCTGAATTGCTCCAATTTTAGTGTGTGTTAAGGAGAGATCTTCATGCACAGAGTGATGGGATTGTTTGGAGGGGTTTAGCAGAGGTTTACATTTTGGCTGCTGCAGTGTGGAGAGTGGATTATAATGAGGCAGGCGCGCATGTGGAAAGACTGCAAATTAGCATCGCTTGTTTCCCAGAGATAGGCGGAAAGACAATTTCTGTGGCTGAGGTTTTTTGGTTGTTTGTTAGGTTGTTATAGTCCGCCTTATTGCTTGTAGAGAACCTGGCCTGAAATCATAGCAGGAGGTTTCTTTCCTTTCAGTGTTTGTAGTTGAGAAACGGTTGCCCTTTTCTATGCCCATAACTGAAGTGTTTAGGGATAATGTTAGAACTAACAAAAGATTATTATATTCAGGGCTATAACAGCAATGCTATCTTCTCTCTCTCTCTCTCTCTCTCTCTCTCTCTCTCTCTCTCTTTCTCGATGTTTCTATCTGTGTATCTATGTATCTATCTAGCATATGTCAATATCTATCTACCCACCCACCCACCTACCTACCTACCTACCTACCTACCTACCTACCTACCTACCTATCTATAATATGTAGGTATCTATTTACTGATATATTTAACAAACCATTAAAAATCACTGAAGGTTTTATTCAGTGAGCTAACTTTCCTGTGGAGAGGTGTTGGCTACTCTATAAGTATACCCTAATCTTAAAAGATACTGGTGGGTCTCATTTCTTAAAAGAAATTTTCATTATTTAAGTTTAAATAGTAAAATACATCAATTAAAGAAATAAATGGAGGTACAGGAATTATTTTAAAGAAGGCAAATGACATAAGCATACCAAATGCTACATTTTTATAAATTTAGCTAAAATCCACCTGTATATAAAATTTTGGATTTAAAATATTTTAGTTCAATATTACATCATAAGGTCACTAGATTTAGCAAATCAAAGTTCAGAATGCTTGATTAAATTTGAATTCCAGATGAACAGCATATAAATGTGGGTATATATATCTATATATACACACACTAAGTATATTTTATATACTAGTATATTTTGTCCAAATATGCCCCCAAAATTGCATGGGGTATACTTCACTTAAAAAAATATTGCTCAGTTGGAATTCAAATTTAACTGGATGTGCCACATATTATCTGGCAATGTTATATATAAACATTTTCCTTGTTTTGTGTAATCTTCATAAACTATTACAAATAACACACTAAAAAAACAATAGTATAGAAAAAAATCTTATTGTTAAGGAACATCTCTGGCAAGATTTACAGAATTAAGCCTCTTTACATTAAATATATGTCTGTCTTCAAATTTATGTTACAGAAATATTATAGGCTCTAATTTCTTCTGCTCTCTATCCCTCCTTTTTCTACTCCCTTCCCTCCTTCCTTCCAATAGTTTGAAGGTTGAATTTGTATCAGTGTTGTTTAATTTCCATTTTTTTTTTGTTTAAAGTATCATTAGTTCAGACTATCCTTGAGAATCTATCCTTAGATAGTTATCTGTTCTTTTTAAAGTCTTGAAACAAATTTCAGTGAAGATATTTGGACATGATAGATACAGATTTCTCTAGATTCCCTTATTTCTAATCTTGGATTCAGATTATCAGTAGATAATCTGTTGTGCCCCTTAATTGCCTCTATATCATGCACTGATTTCTTTTCCTCTGCATGTACGGAGCACCTACACAATGCTAACCTTCTCACTTACTGACCGGGTCACTTTAGTCAATCTAATTCCTTC